TTAAGCGTCCATTGGTTGCATACTTCAGAATCTAGGCGTGAGTAGTCAAGTCATTTGGGTACTTTTAGGTTACTTTTATTTTTTTCATTTATATGTAGAATTATGTCTGAAATTATAACACTGTTTTTCACCCTACATATAGTAGGGAAGTATGCATAGTTGAAAATCTTGATCAGCCAAGTACACATGGTCATTACATAAATATAGGATGATTGATCTGCCTCATATTTCACTCCTTTTCATTTCTTCTTTTCCTATTAAACATACTACAATAACTTGGAACAGAAGTCTCTTTAATGCCAGGGTGTATGGCTTTCTGCTTAAGCTAATTATGGAGACTTATTGAGGTTTTCCAGTGTGACGCTCATAGCGATTTGTTGCCTGTCGATGGATAGTCTAGATGCATTTCGTAAACAAGTTAAGACAAGTCTTCAGCCAGTTCTGCCTGGCCGCTCAAGGTCAAAGAAACTGTATTTTCCTACAAACAATCTCCCATTCTTGCTGAAACTAAGCTACAACCCATTAGAAGCACTAAATGAAGGTTTTTCAGTGGGAGATCTGTTTTCCAGCACTTGCTTCCACGTTTACCCAAATTTTTCGTTCGACTTTGTACTTGCGTATCTACCAAATGGGCCATTTTGTCTTATTCTGCTGCTAATGGAACAAGAAGAATTGGAGCAGTTCTGTATGAATGAGTCATTTGCAAAACCAGGTTGATGGGCTTTCGCTTTATTTAGCTTGGTTCTTATCATAAAGACCCATCCAGGTACCACTGAGGTTAATAAAAATAACCCTCTCTTTTCTTCCTTTTCCTGTTCGTTCGTAATGTTTCCTGTAACTGAGGTGTCCAAGAGGAGATGGCAGTCTGGCAGCTTTGTAGGAAATGACATCGTAAAACCAATAATACCACAACTCTCTCCTCCTCCCCTTCACCTCCTTTGCTAACGTTCTCTGAGAGGATGTGCCAAAACCCATTTTGGCTTCACCTTCCTCTCAGCCCCTTTAGATGTAGATAAATGAGCTGCTGCTGAAGTGTACACAGTGGTAATAACTAAAGAAATGATGCACCTCACTCTCTTACCAGACTGCTCGACTACGCCAGGCTGGCCGCATTTCCCGGGAGCCAAGCCAAATGCTTCTCTTTTTAAGGCAATGCTTCCAGTTCTCCATATCAGAGCGCATGTCTGAAAAGCAATGCTATTATAAACCTTCTGGAGTTTTTCCTGTGTCATCGCATTAAACTCTGCCGTGTTCATTAGTCATGTTGGTTTTTGGTCCATTTTGTTGGCTTTTGATGCAAGAATTTGATGAATTTGTGATAGACTTGTTTGCTTCAACTTTGTTTCTCTAGTTCCCTTGGAGTACACTTACAGCTCAATTCAAACCAGGCACTTTGAGTTGCACCACATGGGATTTTATAGTCTAAATTACCCTTCTGCTGTCAAAATCTGATTATCTAATATTTTAAGAGACATTTACCATGACACTTTCAGGGTCTTCAGTGGTACTGCTATATTTCCTTTTTTCCTCTCTCCCCGCTCAGATGGATTTTGATTGGCTGTCAGTGTTTTTTTGTTGTTGTTCATTAGCTAGAAAAAAACATTATCCTTTTCTACATTATATTTCTTCTTTATTTTTGACTTTAAGCTCCCCGCAAAAAATCTAAATGAATTTTAATCCATAAATTAAAAACATGTTTAACTGAGGAGGTAGCCTATGTTCAAGCCATTCTGTGTGTATGAATTTCAATTTTAATTTAAGTGCATAAAATAAATTAATCTCTCACACATCAGGGCAAAAAATGAGGATCCTTTCATTAACCATCAAATGTCTTTTTTCATTCTGATAATTTCTTACAGAGACTCCAACTAGTCATTAAACATGTATCTGGAACTTCTGACTGTCAGTACCCCACTTTACAGAGCATAGACTTAATCATCTGTCCTCAATAAATGCAGAAACCTATGGCGGGATGAGACGCAAGCAGCATCTGTGAAGCGTACTAAACCAAATTACTGTTGTTAAGGCAGTTTTCATACACTTTAACAGTCTCGCCCTCAATGCAAATGAGGCTTAATGTAATCATGTGTGTGTGTTGCCAGTTAGATTGCAGTACTGTCACTTGATCACACACTAGTTCAGTTGTGCAGTCTAACAGCACTAATTGTGTTCTGAGTCTAATGCAGTTGCACAGATAGACCAGCATGCAGGACATGAATACTAACAGGCAGTCCAGCATCTTCCAGAAACAGAACGGCCCACTTCACCAGGCACAGCCGCTTTGTGTTTGCATTGAGATGCATCTAACTCTTAGCTAAGTAATTGTTTTGAGCATGCTAATGAACTAACCAAATTTCAGTTTAATCTCCAGAGATTGCACAGGTTTTCTTATAGAGCTCACCTTGTTAAGCCTCTGTACAGGAAGGGAAATTGAAATGTCTATTTGAAGTTCATAGCCATATAATTATTTTCCAATTGGATCTCGGCTGATTGTGCTCTCATCTTCCGTGTTCTAAAGGAAACGATTCGTTAATCAAAAAGCTCATCTAATCAGATGCTTTAAACAGTTTTAAATTGCCCTGAGATCTCTGGCTTCATATATTTGCTCTGATTAGACCTTAATCCAGACCTTGGAGAGGAGTAAATGCATAGATCCAATGCATGAATAGATGATGGATATGGTAGTACTGCTGGATGTTTGCATTAAAGAAATGGTACGAAGTTTAGCAGGGTATCATGGTTCTGTTAGCCCCTGGTGGTAGATGCTGTAACTACAGCATTTGGACTCATAAAGCATGTTGTTGCTATATTAAAAATAATTCATAATTATCTGTATATAATAATTATACATTAAATGTTTCTTCCTAATATTGTATGGCGGTTTTAGTAGTGTCTGACTTGACCGATTGATCAGTGCAATCAGTATTGTCAGATTCCTAAATGAATATGTCTTCTGAGCTTGTTCATTTTAGTCAATCAAAAATGTACAAGACACTTTTTGAATGAATTGTTTAAAATTTCTGATTTGTATATTTTTGAAACCTGAAATTCTCATAATTTGGCAACAGACAGCTGAGGGCAATTAAGGCTTGTTTACACTTGGAACAATAATTAGCCTATAAAGTTAGCAATGACTATATTAGTGTCCAGCGTTCTGTTTATAAGTGCGCACTGCATTTATATCGTTGCTTTAAATGGTCAAGCTCTTTAAAGTCGGGTGGAGTCTCGCTCTCTTTTTTTTTTATTTTTAATTTTTTTATTAAGCGTTCGTTCTGAAAAAAAAAAAAAATTCCCCCATTCCCCCCCCCCCCCCCCACAATAATTTATTACTAAAATACTAAAACGTCTGTGAACACAACAGTGAAAGTAATTGTAGTTTTTAAAGAAACTTTTATATTAGAAACAAGAACCGGGCCGCTTGTTCAAACTTGTTACAAAAATAAACACTCAGAATTTAGTTTGTCATCTTTCAATTTACAGGTAACTTCTGCGTGGTGTTGAGTCTGGTCAAAAAGTAGGGGTATTTGTAGCTGTATTTCTTGTATATTTTTATTTTTTTAAACTTGCTTTACTGAAATTTCACTAGCCTTAAAACCAAATGGCACTTAAAAAAAGCATATTTTACAAAACCTATGAGTGACATTGCAGTGCTGGGCTAATGTGCCAAAACCTCACTCTCACTGGTGGGGCATCCTCACGGTAACATGATATTATTGTGTACATCCTGCTGCAGATGTGTGGTATGTGTCTGGAAGCTAAACCCTTATTCATGAACCACACTTATTTGGTAGTGATGCCCCCTTCTGGCTGTGTGTGGTTGCCAGTGACTATTTGTTCTATTGTAACTGTCATTAGTGTTTCGATTGTCAGAATTCTACTTGAATAGTGAAATCAGTGTTACACAAGACAACTTGCTCCCAACGGTGAAATGAGATTGGTCTGAAATAGCTGTACTGTGTATAGAGTATCAAAGCGTGTTCTGCTTGAATATGAGATGAAAATGCAAAAATGTTTGGAGTCTGTAAGAAGATTAAGTGTTTTTGAATTATGCTCACCAAGGCAGCAATTTATTTGATGAAAGATACAGTAAAAACAGTAATATTGTAATATTGTAACATATTATCACAATTTAAAAATGTATATTTTTTTTAAATACATTTTAAAATGTTATTTGTTCCTGTAATGGCAAAGCTGAATTTTCAGCAGCCATTACTCCAGTCTTCAGTGTCTCATGATCCTTCACTAATTATTCTAATATTCTGATTTGGTGCTTAAGAAACATTTCTTATTAATGTTATAAACAGTTGTGCCGCTTAATATTTTTGTGGAAACTGTTTTTTAGGGAATAGAGTTTTTAAAACAGCATTTGTTTGAAATAGAAATCTAGTGGCCTGTCACTTTTCAATTTAATGTATCCTTGTTGAACAAAAAAAAAAAAAAAAACTCCTCCTGACTCCAGTATTTTGAATGGTAGTGTGTATGTTTCTATTTTTACAATACACATGCAATTACACAAATGTGCGTTATTTTATTTTCGTTTACTTTAGAACCTAGATTTTAGCATTTAACTAAAAATAAAGAGGTTTTTGGTTAAAACAGTAGAATTGAAATGCAACAGTAAAAACGGAAACTTGAATACAGAACAGGCAGCAGCGATGAAATGTTTGTTTGCATGTGTGTTTAAGTGATACTGTTGCTGTGGTTTCCAGGCCAAGCCTAGTGTAGATGATCGGCTGCCAAGCAGGAGAGGTGCCCATTGTTTGAGGGATGCTCATATTGCGTCTTTCCCAGCTTCGATGCAAATGTCCATTGTTTTATTTCACAGGCATGAATAAAAGAATGAGTTACCCACTTTCAGCACACTCTGAATGCAAACAGGAGAATGATTTTCTTTTTTTATACAAAAAGCCCATGTACATGCTTTTTATTGCCTTTTTTGTTGTTGTTGTTACTATCCACCTATACTCCTCTCAACCATTTCCTGTCTCCATCTCTTTCAGAATGCCAAGTCTTTGTCCTCCTCAGACAGCCTAGCGAAGGTGCAGGAGGTAGCAAGCTGGCTTTTGGAAATGAACCAGGATCTGCTGTCGGGGGGCAGCGGCAGCAGGGCGGCCCAGCAGCAGAGGCAGAGGCCTGGGGCAGCGGGGGCAGGTAACAGCACCTCCGGCCGCACACCTCAGCCCCAGGCGGAGCACATGAATCGGGTGTTGGAGGAGCAGGAGCAGGTGGCACAGCAACAGAGAAGAGAACCGGGCGAGGAGGAAGAGGGTGGACAAGAGCGGCCAAGGGAGGCAGAGGAGGAACCATGGCCTTCCGGAGGTGAGCCAGTGGAGGAAGGACGGAGGAGCGAGGTGAACGGAGCCGAGAAGGGCGCCCAGTGGATGTGGGAGCAGGAGCAGCATCGGCGGCATAGACGGCATCGCGAGGAAGAGGCGGAGAATGAGGAGGAGGAGAATAATAATGCCGGAAGGGAAGGGCAGGTCGGGGTGGGACTTCGTTCAGAGGAAGACGACGACCGACCGGAGGATGAGGAGGAAATGGACCAGGATAGCGATGAGTTTGAGCATTCAGGAGAGAGTGGGAGGGAAGAGGAGGAGGAGGAAGAGGCTGAAGATGAGGAGGAAGGAGAGGAAGGCCTCCACTCTCCCTTCCTCAGGACCAGTGTGTCGGACCTTAATGATAACACAGACCAGTCCTCTGGACGACAACACCAAAGCTCACCATCTGTCTGCAAGAATAAGGTAAGCGACTAAATTTAACTATGATCTGGTTTTTAAAGTCCAGATGAATAAATGGAATTATTCTTCTGATTAAGTATAATGTCGTGAAAAGTGTCTTATCTGGGCAGACGTTTTAATGAGCTTGTGCAATCATGGTGTTTGTCTCCCTCTACTGGCCATTTTTGGCTTTACATCAGATAAACAATCATCTTTTGAGACTTGATTTTATCGAGTGATTAAGGAAAGCTACAACTGTGTCATAGCCCAGACATTACGTACCTGATTATTGCAAGGAATATTCTTTCAAATAAAGGTTGGTTTGATAATATGGAAAATATTGGCATGCATTGAATGTGTTCAGGAGTATCTGGATTAATTTAAAACTAAATTTCTGACGTTCTATGATCACTTGGGTGATGGAAGTTCTTTGTTAAAGCAGAGACTTTTTTTTCAGCCGAACCCCTTTAACAAATTTTCTTAAAGTTACCCCCTTGAGATTTTAAGTTAGTATTTCGATAATATAACAACACATTTGCATGTTCACGGTTAACGAGTTACCTGACGTGCAAGTACAGAAATTAGATATTTAAACTAAGTAAGTGTTTTATGATAATTATTTTTATTTCGAAAATTTTAATTGAAAAAAATTACATTATATATATTTTTTAAATTGTTTATAGAACAGTGCTGTACAATTTGGTCAAAATTATGATTTTGTCATTATATTGCATTTTGAATTGTAATATAAACATTTATACTCAATAAAAAATGTTTTAAAATCTCATAAAAAAATGAAGACAGAAATATATTACTGATACTACGCTCAATTTAGTTTTTGCTACTACAATTTGATACTATAATTTAGATAAAAAATACAATTGAATTAAAATATTCATCATTAATAGATTTTATTTTACACTATGTATTACTAAACTAATATCTCTTAGATTCTTCATTTTCACATATTAAACCCTCAAGTTTTTATTTGTTACAATTCTGACATTGCAAAAAGTGCTGAAACTTAGGGCTGCACAATTAATCAAATTTCTAACCGTGATTACAATTATGGATGCCACAATTACGTAATCGTTCAAAGCGGCAATCAATCGTTCAAAGTCCACTTATGTTATTTTGTGTGTTTAAGATGCTTTTTTTTCCTTTCTACATGTTATCTTAAGGGTTTTTCTATTGTTTTAATTTTAGTTTTAGTATAACACTATAATACCATTTATATTTTTACTTTTTTTATAATTTAAAGAAGAAACCAATCCGATGTATAGTTGACATTTGAGGCTTGTTTATTTTCATATAAAAATACGGCATGCAGTTGCATCAAACAATGGTATAAACATCATTCAATGTAAATTGTGATAATCGTAATTAATAATTGCAATTACAATTTCAAGGCAATAATCGACAATTATGATTTTTGTCATAATCGTGCAGCCCTACTGACATTTATTTCTGAAAGAAATTTGGAAGTTTTTTGCATGTGAAAAATTTATCCTGGTGCGCATTGCATTGGAAACCTGAGTTAAAGAAATAGTTACCTAAAATTAATAATGTTGTAATTTACTCACACTCATGTCATTCCAAATATCATCTGCACACAAGTTTGTATTTTCTTTGGGATTTTTGTGGAAAGAGTTTGCAGATCTGGTCTGGGCCTGTCCATGTCTGAGGGTTCAAACAGCAGGCTTGTATTATGCTGCAAGATGCCTGTTATTACTTGTCATTGACCTCAAAAGGAAAGCCTTTAAGCTTTATTTAACTGGACTAGTTGTTCATACAGCGGGTAAAATAAGTATTGAACACGTCACAATTTTTCTCAGTAAATATATTTCTAAAGGTGCTGTTGACATGAAATTTTAACCAGATGTCGGTAACAATCCAAGTAATCCATACATACAAAGAAAGCAAAACAAATATGTTCAGAAATTAAGTTCTGTGTAATAAAGTGGAATGACCCAGGGAAAAAGTATTGAACACATGAAGAAAGGGAGGTGCAAAAAGGCATGGAGAGCCAAGACACCAGCTGAAATCTATCGGTAATTAAAAAGCAATCCTGCCCACGGTCAGTGGAAATTAATATTAGTTGGTTCAGTCCCAACTGATGGCCTATAAAAAGGTGTCTCATGACCAATGTGTCACATAAGAAACATTTCATGATGGGTAAAAGCAAAGAGCTCTCTCTAGACCGTCGCAACCTTATTGTTGCAAAACATATTGATGGCATTGGTTACAGAAGAATTTCTAGGTTTATCAGCCGCAGTGGTGGATCATTAAATGTAAACATCAGAGGCCATAGACGTTCACACCATTAATGTGTGTGTGTGTTTTTTGGCAAGCCATGTGGTACCCATAAGCAGTTTCTTTCAAATATTGTGTATTGGTCAGCTTGAATCAAAAAAGAGCGATTGGGTCTGTTTTTGAGCAAAGAGGAAATACAAATGAGCGGAGATGGAGTTATATTTTTACTTTTTTTATAATTTAAAGAAGAAACCAATCCGATGTATAGTTGACATTTGAGGCTTGTTTATTTTCATATAAAAATACGGCATGCAGTTGCATCAAACAATGGTATAAACATCATTCAATGTAAATTGTGATAATCGTAATTAATAATTGCAATTACAATTTCAAGGCAATAATCGACAATTATGATTTTTGTCATAATCGTGCAGCCCTACTGACATTTATTTCTGAAAGAAATTTGGAAGTTTTTTGCATGTGAAAAATTTATCCTGGTGCGCATTGCATTGGAAACCTGAGTTAAAGAAATAGTTACCTAAAATTAATAATGTTGTAATTTACTCACACTCATGTCATTCCAAATATCATCTGCACACAAGTTTGTATTTTCTTTGGGATTTTTGTGGAAAGAGTTTGCAGATCTGGTCTGGGCCTGTCCATGTCTGAGGGTTCAAACAGCAGGCTTGTATTATGCTGCAAGATGCCTGTTATTACTTGTCATTGACCTCAAAAGGAAAGCCTTTAAGCTTTATTTAACTGGACTAGTTGTTCATACAGCGGGTAAAATAAGTATTGAACACGTCACAATTTTTCTCAGTAAATATATTTCTAAAGGTGCTGTTGACATGAAATTTTAACCAGATGTCGGTAACAATCGGTAATTAAAAAGCAATCCTGCCCACGGTCAGTGGAAATTAATATTAGTTGGTTCAGTCCCAACTGATGGCCTATAAAAAGGTGTCTCATGACCAATGTGTCACATAAGAAACATTTCATGATGGGTAAAAGCAAAGAGCTCTCTCTAGACCGTCGCAACCTTATTGTTGCAAAACATATTGATGGCATTGGTTACAGAAGAATTTCTAGGTTTATCAGCCGCAGTGGTGGATCATTAAATGTAAACATCAGAGGCCATAGACGTTCACACCATTAATGTGTGTGTGTGTTTTTTGGCAAGCCATGTGGTACCCATAAGCAGTTTCTTTCAAATATTGTGTATTGGTCAGCTTGAATCAAAAAAGAGCGATTGGGTCTGTTTTTGAGCAAAGAGGAAATACAAATGAGCGGAGATGGAGAAGAGCGAGGGGAGGGAATGCAAGAGCGCACAGACCCTCCTCATCCTCATGATGTCGACACGCTTGTCAATGCACTGACAGAAGACGACCTGCGAATCTTTTACCATTTCTGTCTGAATCTCTCTGAGCTGCCATGGGGAATCGCAGTATGAAGAAGGTCGCACTGTTACTGATGAGTGAATCTTCAGAGAACATCTTATGACATCTGTGTGTGGAGAGCGTCTCATCCGCCTTTTGAAGCCGCTGTGTGTTTTGGATGAGAACACAGTGTTTATCTGATTGAGGCAGCCACAGCAGGGCTGAAGTTCACAGAACAGTGATGTGTGGAGTGTGCCTTTTCAAAAGGATGTGAATGTTTTGTCATGTTTTTTTTTTAAACAACAAAACCTAGTGAGCTGCCTGTCTAGTAGGGATGTGGTCAAGATGGTTGATTAGTTGACCTTGCTAAGTTTTAGATTGACCTTGCTAAATATTAGATTTAGATTTTTTTTTTAAATTAACAGTAGTGATTTAATTAGCCTGTTGACTGTGTGTTGTGCTTTAGTTGGTAGTAGAATGGTTTTCAATTTTATGGTCTCGATTTAAGCTGCTGTCACTGTTAGTATGCTGTCTAATTGGTTCAGAGTTCATATTACTGAATTAACATTTGTTCATCACCATGTTTGAGATTTGTTGAGCTACAGAATATTTTGTGTTGCTCATTGCAACTATTCGATTTAAAATATTTGGATTTTAAATATATATCAGGGTAATATGTTTGCCTCTAGCTTTTAAGTGGCTAATAATGCCCATTTCATTTAGTTGGCTTTAGGGTTTAGGGTGAAACCGATATGTGTTTTTCAGGGCCAATGCCGATAACGATTATTACAGATCAAATAGACCAATAACCGATATTTTGAACCGATTTATATATCTGGTGTAAAAATGAAAATTAATGTCAAAATTAAGAATAACAAGGGCTCTGACAAAAACTTTCTTTAAATGCTTTTAAATTATTTTATCAGCAAATCAGTTTTGAAAATGGCTGATACGATAAAATAAATGGTTAATATTGACTTCGATAATTGGCCAGGCCAAAAATCGGTCAAGCCATAATTGGCTTTGAAAATCAAGCAAAGGTGAAAATACGGTTTATATCTCCTTGCATTGGTAAATGTTGAGCAATCTTTGGTTGCCTTGGCAAGAATTTTTTATTATTTTTTTAATTCATATTAATTTCAAGTATGTCTTTGGCTTATGCTTTTTGTTTTTGAGCATCTTACATTATGAGTGTTATGGCATTATTATGGCAAGTTGAAAGTAGCTTGAAAACTTAAAAAAAAATTTTTTTAAACCACACAATGTCCTGCTTTGTTGTGGTCTGTCCAGCTGTTATTTAATGAGTCCCCCCAAACCAAGGCTTCTGTTAAAGGAGATTAGTTGACTAGTGAACCCCACTGACCAGTCAGTTTAAAAAAAAAAGGGCATTTGTAG